TTTGCTCATGGAGATTGTCTAAACTAAAGAAGGCCGAAGCAATTGCGAAAATTTGCTGTTTGCTTCATCTGGAAAACGGAAGAACGAGTTAATTAGAAAATTAAAATTAATTAAAATAATTTATTAATTATTATTAGTTATTAATTATTGAATTACATTAATTAAAATGAGTGGACGAAGGAGACACTTAGACAATCAGTTGCTGAACAAATGAATAAGTGAATAATTGAAGGAAAGACGGAATGAAGGAATGAATGAGCGAACAAATCAATGAGTGAATAAACGAATGAATAAACGAGTACACTGCTAAAGAAAATTATGTAGATTTAAATAGATAGTTTTGCTTCATGCTTACAACTGAAATAATTACAGCATTATTAATCAAGGGTTATAACCCTACATTACCTCACTTCATGTACTTCTTGAATGGCCTTTAAAGTGTTTACAGCAAGGTAAAGGGCAGTGGGTAACGAAAAGTGTCCCCGTGGTGTCATCTCTCTGAGCTTATCCAGGGCTTTGCCGACCAGTGACATAGCCATCCAATTATAGACGTCCTTTTTTCTTCCCTTGTCGAATAAATAACAACAGTATCGTTTTCCCGCCGCGTTGAGCGCTTCCAATACAGCCACTTCTTGCCTCAACGTCCTCACTTCTTGCGCGGCATTCTCAATCTATAAAAAATCGCTGCAGCTGCATTCGTGCTCTGCTCATCGTCTTACTTTTAGGGCCACTTCCTGGTCGCCACCGATGCTTCTGGCCAAAACAACTGCTCCAAACGCGCCCTCTCCCAGGAATTTCAATACTCGCCACCGAAAACCTCTGACTCCTGTTAGTAATTCGCCCACCTCAACTAGTCGTGCATTGGTTTCCATGTTGGTCAATCAGCACCACTGGAATTAGGTCTTTGGTAGAACCAGGTACTACATAGAACAACAACTGCCACAATGAACGTTGATTTCTGCACACAATAAAACGAGCGTTTTCATAAATATGCAATTATCACAACCAAGTTTAGTACAACTATAAAGTTAAATGCTCTTCATAGTCTATACTCTAAGACCTTGATGCAGGGAGGCAAGAAAAATTAGAATAATTGACCTGTGTATCTCTGCAACACTATGGTAACTGTGAATGCCTGTCATTTGTCTAGGAAAGAGCGGCTAACGGTATTTCTTTAATCAGGGTTTCTCCTAAGGGTATGGCTGTTTAGAAGGCGCATACTTCGATTTCAAATCCAAAAGAAAGAAGTGCGAGGTAGACACCTTCTGTAATAACTATTAAACAATTCTCAGTGAAATTTTTTGATGTGCTGTCTGTTCTTTGACCAGAAAATTAGAGCTCATGGGCAAGAGAGTTATGGAAGGATGCATCAATTGGTTGCTTGCTTGAATAAAAGTAAACGATCTTCGCTACATGATACATGATTCAAGACAATAGTTGAAACGGGCGATGTGAATTCCTTCATAGGCATAATATTTAGCAGATCTTCTGAAACACTGCTTGATGAGTGATACGGAAAATGAAGATAAGGCCATTTTCTTTGAATTGAATCGTCAAACTCCATGAACTCCTATCTGCAGGGTTGTGAAAAAGGGTCAACAGGTGCCATTTATCATAGGTGCCATATATTCAGGAGTAAACGGCACGATAATACCAATGTGTAATATCAGCGCCCTAACACTGACTGCGGAATGAGTTTCTTGATGTATTAATTTACAGTACTTGCATGATATAGTCATT